GTGAGAGAGAGAGAGAGAGAGAGAGAGAGAGAGAGAGAGGGAGAGGGAGAGGGGAAGGACAGAGAGAGAGAGAGAGTGAGAGTGAGAGTGAGAGAGTGAGAACGACGAAGAGGGGGTCGGTGGGATGGTGCGTAGAGGGGAGGAAGATAAAGAAAGGGAATGGCGAAAAATGAAGGAAAGAAGACACGCCACACACGAGGGACTGATTTAAGCTTATTACGCCAGAGTTAACGTGGGGAATGTGTCAGAGAGATGGCGTTAATAATTTGTGCGAGTGTAATTGTAAAGCGGACGCAAGAGAGCTTGAATCGTGGTAGCGAATTTTAGTAGCTTCGAGCGACTCAACTTTTACCAAAATTCTTTTAATGAAATTTTCTAAATACCCGGAGATGGAGGGAGAAGGCGGGAATGGAGATGGGAGACGCAAGGTGTCGCGGAGAAGATTATGATCGGCGCACCTGAGACCAGAAGGTAGCTGACGAGGCCCTGCAGCACCTCGAGGCCCGAATGTATCATCCTCTAGGAGCGAAGCGGGACTCGGACTCGCCGTGGCATCGTACAAGAGGAGAAGGGCACCGTCGCGGGCAGGGGGCACGTGGTGGGCTTGGCGTCCGTGATGGCGGTTCGTAGGGACGCGGTGCCGTCGGGGCGCTAGTCTCGCTCGCTGCACTCGACTGGCGGCGCGACTCGCGTCGGCCTCTGCGTGTATCGCCGCCGCCGCTACCGCCGCCGTTACCGCCGCCGCTGCCGCCGCCGTAGTCGTAGCCGTAACCGTAGCCGTAGCCGCCGTAGCCGCCGTAGCCTCCGTAGCCGCCGTAGCCGCCGTAGCCGCCGTAGCCGCCACTACTGCCGCCGCAGCACGGACACGTGCGCCCGCGTCCCGATATAACACGCAAGGGCCGAAGGACGAGGACGAGGAGATGGGAGAGGAGGAGAACTCGCTGGCTTAGAAGCCAACGAGCGCATCCTGTGCACTGAGCTCGGTCGGGAGAGAGGGCGGACATTGTGGTGGCGAGGGGCGGAGGGGGCGGGAATGGTCGGGGGAGGGGGGGAGGCATCTGGGGGTGGGGTGGGGGGAGAGCTCCCTGCCGAACGAGCCGCTCCTCCTGCTAGTAGTTGTTCACCTGCGCTCGACCATCGGACGCTGCTTTGTTACCTGCCGTACGCGCGTTTTCTCCCTCTTTCTCTCCCGCCAGTCCTCCCGTCGTCGTCGGCGCCCCCTCCTCCTTCCCGCTCCGCCGTCACGCTCCACCCCCTTAGCCGATGCCACCGTCAACGCCTCCGTCCCTCTCCCCCCTCGTGCTTCTTTATTTTTTTCTCCTCGTCTACGTCGAAATTTAATACGCAAACTTATGCACAACCATCGCGGCCACGACGGCCGTGATTCATCGCATTCGTTATTTCGATAAACGGAAATTGGCATTTTGCGTGCACTGCCTGATGCAGTGGCCGACTACTGCGTACGCAGGACTCACGAGCAACGGCCCGAGCGTCTACTAACTCCTGGATTATTAATGAAATAATTGTCTGACGAGCCACCTTCTCCCACCCCGCCCGTAAATTACGTATTTATTTCGCCAAAAAATTTCTTCTCGACACTCTGCGTCCTTCGCTCACGGAGATCGACGGATATTAGAGGAGTCCATTGTAAGCTGTGCGTATTAATGCAATGCTTACCACTTGCCACCCCCCACAATGTAATAACAATGTTTATGCTTTGCTTCGTTGATTAATGAATAAAAACAGCGTCGGCCTTTCATAGACTATCGCTTCATTATGGCTAAACTCCAACTGACTGAAATGCAGTGGAACTGTTGTTACTCATCATTGCTCGTTTGTTGATTAAGTAAGTGCGCAGGGGGAACGATATTGATTGGATATTGACAGATAAGTCAGGCCGATATGGCAATTAAAATGTTGAGCATACTTTAATAACAATACGAATGAGTTGTCGCTACTGCTCGACACGTGCGAACAACTTCTTTTATAGTTGAGATGTTCGTGCGCTCTGTGTATATATGTGTGTGTGTATGTGTGTGTGTGTGTGTGTGTGTGCGCGCGTGTGCGTGCGCGCAAACAGTAGTATGCACGTTGATCGGGCAAAGCACTTTCGCTAACTTGACATCTCGGCCAATATTAAATTCGACTTTCGCCGCCGATACAAGAGAGGAATTCGTGTCGTGCGCGCGCGCGCGCGCGCGCACCCTATAACGCAGCCAGCCACCGGAGTATTCAACAAAACCCAACGTCCCGACGATGACGAGGACGACGACGACGACTCTTTCACGATGAATCGAGTCTCGAGAGGCTTGATTTCATTATATTTCAAATACGTACGTTAGTCGTGGCCAGGCATGTTCCAACGGCGAATGAACATCGGAGGCACCCATCCTTATGATCCTTTCTACGCTCAGATATGACAGATGCCTGGGCTTCGCACCTCGCACCAACATCGTCTTAAAGATCTCGTTCGCTTTGCTGCCGGAAAGCCGAGCACGTGTTGCTCTCACCTCGTGTAGAGAGGAGCGACGCCCGGAAGTACTTACAAAGCCCCGGCAACGCGCGCTCGCCGCTCCCTCCCCCTTCCTGCGCTCGACCCTCGGCACCCAAAACCCCCTTCAGATGTTCAATGACACCGGCGGGTATGGAAAGGTTCCACGAAGCCGACGTGATTATTAATAAAGCCAGACAATTTTATTTTTATATTCGGTCATTGGCAAACGGTCAACTATCCAGCTAGACGAATTTGTACAAAAGTTCGCTTTTTGACGTGCATTTTTTTTTGTTTTTGTTTTTGTTTTTGTTTCTGAATTATCTGAATTTCGAGGTAAGCATCTGCAAAGACTCTTCAACACTTGATATTGCTCACTCTGTCTCACGCGCTCACTACACACTATTCTCTTTCTCTCTTTTCCTCTTATTTACTACCATCCCCCGTCCGTCTCAACCCCCTTTCGATCAACGAAGTCCGGAACGTGTGGCAAAACTGAGAGGTCTGGTTAGAATGTAATTTTGAGATCGTGATCGACATTATTACGACCACTTATCCGTGTAATTGGCAAGTTTTTAGAGGCGATACCGATACAATGCGCGTTGTATCATAGAAGCCAGGCAAACAGCTTATAAAGCACGAGTAAATTGATTCGATTCCATTCGGTTCCATTCGATTCCATTCGATTCCATTCTATTCGATTCAATTCGATTCCATTCTGTTGGCACTTGGAGCCGAAGGTAAAATTTGCCGAGACGATGCGACAGTTTTGGCAGTCCAATTCACCGATCGACTAAACGATAAGTTCGTTTAGCGGATCCACCTTGGCACTGAAGATCTCGATGATTTTGGCCAACATTCGATGGTATAACGCGTTGTCCTATTGGCTTGGCTACTTTATTCCTTCGCTATCAAATGAAAATGGCACGAATTTTGGCCAGCTGATTTTCTTTGAAGAAGCGATTCTTTGAAGGAAGCGAGACACGAGCTCAGACGCATTGCATGATAAATAGGGAATCGCGCGACCAACAAACGTGCGCTTCGACGCCACCGAGAAAAGCTCCTGCACTAGTTAATCGTTCACGAGCAAAATCCAAAATGGAAAATCCGTCAGCGGCAGATTCCAAAGTCCATTAGAAGAGTAGATTCGAATGAAAAGGGACAATTATGTAATTTGTCGGGGCACAGCGCATAAGGATAGCGCTAAGAAAATTATAATGAAAAATTACTTACGCTAGCACGCAACATTCATTTAAATTCACTATCCTAACTACCTTATTTCGCAAGAGAAAAACAAAAACTCATCCTCGTGGAACGATCGCGATTGAGGAATCTAGGGGAGACAGCCTCAACGAGGCTTACCGTTTTAAACGAGCTGAGTGCCTTGTTGTTTTTTCTTACTTTTTTTTTCCCTTTTTCTTTTCTTTTTCTTTTCTTTTCTTTTTTCCAATTCGATTATCATCGTCCCATGTGTGTGTGCGCGTGCGAGACACGGTATACTACTATGTATGCTGCTGAAGTACAGCCTCTGTCGTTTCTTTCTCTCCCTCTTGGTCATAGAAGTCTGGCCGTTTGCCTAAAGAATGTAATTTTATATTCCTATTTACCGTTCTTCAGTTCTTCATTGTTCTTTATACTTATATTTGGACTCTCCGGCGTCATGTCGCAATAAATCCTTTAAAAAAAAAAAAAAAAAAAAAAAAAAAAAAAAAAAAAAAAAAAAAAAAAAGAAAGCCTCGCGACGTACATAAATATTTCAATATAAATTTTATTGACTAGCAATTTAAAAACAAAAAGGATTGCTATTAACGCCGATAAGGCGGACTCGTACATGCGAGCGCTACATTCTTGAGATTCTTGCCTTTTATATGTTACTTATTGAAAACACGATGTGTCGGCCGGTATACCAACTTTATATGATTCGTCATCTATCCCGTGTGGGTCTTATTAAAGAGCGCGTGAAAGAAAGAGAGAGCCATAGGAAGAAAAAAAATTGTCGAAATAGTGGCCAACAGGGGGGGGGGCGTGAACAACAACAAAAATGAATAAAATAAATAACTAAAAGTGCATAAAATATCATGTGCTCGTTTAACGGTGCACCGAAAGCTTCCATTTAATAATTACCCTGTCTCATAAAATCAAATTTTGTCTCTCATCGTCCTTAATCCTCCTGCAGTATATAACACGTCTAGTCTTCCTTTATTCCCCCGGCATTGGTGCGCACACTAAAAGCAACTCGTGAATAAGATCAGAGAGAAGCGGAGTGAGAAAGGGCGTTCGGGACAACGGGGAAGGGAAGGGTGGGTGAGTGAGTGAGTGAGTGAGTGAGTGAGTGAGTGAGTGAGTGAATGAGGGAGTGACTGAGTGAGGGAGAGAGCGAGAGACGAGACGAGAGACAGATAGACAGAGAGAGAGAGAGAAACGAGAGAGAAACGAGAGAATCGATTGGATTGCCTTACGGTTCGCAGGTGCCGCGACAGATGGCGCATTCTGTTTGGGTTCCCGAGAGTCTCGAGAGGTCCTTGTCTGCTTGACTCGCGCTGTTCCTCCACGACGAAAGTGTGTCGTCGTAATAGTCATCGGTCTTTAGAAACGATATCGTAATGACTCAGCCATTCGTTGTACTCGCCCGCGTGGAAGACAGTCACAGCGACTGCTAATCTAGTAATGAAACCAACTTTCCGAGTCGATTATTGCCGAGAAATAATGCGTTCGAGCAACTCTAATGCGCTCCGTCGTTCGCCGAATTAATTAAACAATATTTATTTCCACAGGAATTCGTGCTGCCGCTCGTCAGTCCTCCTTTCCATTCGATCCATAACAGTTCGAGAAAGAGTCGTGAGCAACGCGAGACTTTCCGTTCGCTCAGGCATCATTTTATCTAACGGCAACTCACTCTACACAGAGAACAGAGCCAAGACCATTTTAATAATAGGGGCGGACGTTTATGCCTGCATGCGTGCATACGTGCGTGCGTGGTATGCGTGCATGCGTGCATTCGTACGCGAGAAAGGCAGGGATAAAATCTCCTTCCGCCGCCGCCGCCGCCGTCGCTTTACCGTCCCGCCCCCGAAAAGCCCATCTCAAGTCGCATACGTAGTTGCGCAACAAATTTTAATTCGATCTGTTAGCTCGAGCCCGCCTAACAACGACGCATTATCCAACAGCTTCGTGGCACTAGAGAAGAAGTCGTGCCCGATAGCTTGCGCCAATCGCCTCTCCGCGTGAAAAATTCGAAGGTAGCCGGATTACGCGGAGAGCCGTTGGGCGGAATTTTCCGGCTCGGCTCCAACGTGCCTATGTCGGGGGCCATTTTACACGCGCACAAAGGACGAGTGCTGACCGGATAATGGGAATCGCGGCCACGAGCGGATAAATGCGCGAGCGCAGGCCATAAAAAATGAAAATCCTTTCACTGTCTTGGGGGGGGGGGGAGTCTGAAATCTAGGACGGCGGCGGTATTAAACAACGGCTCGCTTTCTCCCGCGCTCGCGTTGCTTCTCGGCCTTTTTATCTAGGCGAGCGAGCCGTCAGAGCGGCGATAATTCCGGAATCTCTCGGGCCACCGCTAATTAGCCGTACCGCCGTCGTCGTACCTCCTCCGCCCCCGCCCATTCCCCCATTCACACAGCTAAATGCTCATTCGCTAAACGGTTCATCCCCCCGTCGTTTTCGCGCTCGTAATATTATGGACCCGCGTGCCCCTTGCAGCGCTCGGCTATTTTGTCGTCACGTATCCCCCGCCGAATTCGCGCGAGGCCTCGGCGATAACTATTAGCTCGTCCTCACTGGAAGCGACCTACTCCACATCGCAGTCGGCGCCAGTTTGAACGTTTTTCATTAGCGACGCCTCGTCTCCTCTATCGCTCTATCGACGGCCTTACCCTCGCGCCCAAATATCTCGCACACTTCCATTATTAGCATGGATATCGCTGGGTTGTGGGGGGGGGGTTACAGGGGGATGTCACAAACGCAGCAGCTAGCCTTTGATGCTGCGGATAATGCCGTAATATTCGCCCTAATACCGCTCTCCTCCGATCGCTCGCTCTTTGGCTTCGCCGCGCGCATTCGACGCATAAGCGCTTTATTGAGTTTGATGAAACGTTTAAGACGGCTTGCCCAACTTGAACTCGTCGCCCCACTAGTTTACACGATGCAAAGAGAGTGATCAAAAATCTGGGAATTGAATACGAGAAAAGAGAAGTAAAATGATGTGGAACGAAGTTAGAAAAAGAAAGAAAGAAGGGAAAGTAATAGGGAGAAGAAAAAGAACATGAAGAACAAGAGAAACTAGAAAATGGGCCTCGTTATCCCAGCTTCCTCTAGTGGTGTAAAGTTTCATTGTACATGGCGTTTCAATTAAAACATTTGGAAATTAAAAGTACGGCATGATTTTAATGGTCCATCAATCGTGTCCCTCAAAGTCTCGGGAGAAAAGTTTATTATATATCTCGTAAACAGCATGCTACATTTGATTATCGTAATGCTTTTTTAGATACCATTTTTCCTATTATTGTTTGTAAGCAACGAATTTTATTTTTATGATTAATGTCATTGCAAATGCTCGCGGAAAGTATGTTACGACATTATATTTCTACATATAAATTGTTGATGAGGCAAATTTATCAGCGGGACAGAACAGAACGGTTGCCGTTAAAACCTAATCGTCGATCTTATGATTAAAAGATCGAAGGCTTGGCGACAAAATGCAATAAATCGTCGATGCTTCTTATCAATAAATTAATATACGATAGTAATAAATATCGTTAAACGATGAACATTCAACGCCATTTGTATTAACCTCCTTTTTGTCTTGTTGAAGCCGTACGAGTAACACTAGGCAAACGAGATGGAGTCGTTCGTTGTTTCGTGTGTTCGTTGTTTGTTTGTTTGTTTGTTTGTTTGTTTGTTTGTTTGCTTATTTGTTTGTTTGTTTGATTGAATTTTTTTCCTTATATCCGCGAAATGGCGAACTATTCGCGGATACTTCGAAAAGGTTTTTAACGGTATATTACGGGGCGTCGCGCTGGCGCGATTCCGCGCTCGATATTTACCGTTACACACTTAGTGTATACAGTCGCCACATAATCGAGGCCATACACGAACCGATTGTGATTGAGATTTGTACTCACTGTGACTTGTCACATTTTTTTCTCATTCTTTCTCATCTAAGGGGCTATCGATACGCACAACCATAGTTAGCTGACAGTGTGGCCGTTGCTATAATCATCCTCGTCTTCTTCGTCATCGCCATTGTCTCTGTCATCGTCATATTCGTCATTGCCGTCGATATCGTTGTCAGCGTCGTCGTCGTCGTCGTCGTCGTCGTCGTCGTCGTCGTCGTCGTCGTCGTCGTCGTCGTCGTCGTCGTCGTCGTCGTCGTCGTCGTCGTCGTCGTCGTCGTCGTCGTCGTCGTCGTCGTCGTCGTCGTCGTCGTCGTCGTCGTCGTCGTCGTCGTCGTCGTCGTCGTCGTCGTCGGCGTCGTCGGCATCGTCGTCGTAGTCGTCGTCGTCTTGTCGTCGTCGGCGTCATCGTCCTTGCAGTTACGCCGCGCGAACTTGGATTTATGACTTTATTATAGTACGAACGAATAAGATCTCAAATAAGTCGTAAAATCCTTTGTCGCAAAAATCTTCGTACGTAAAGATCTCTCGAGATTAAAGTTTTTATATGTAAAAGCTGGCAACTTTCCTTTACCTTACCACGCGATACATTGTAAATTACTTTGGAAATGAGTTTTATGAAGACATGTTGCTAAAACGCGGAAATAAAGATTTTCTTAAACATAATGCCAACATGTCATTTAATTACTGATATATCCTTTTTCTTTTAGTTTACCTTGTTAAATACGAAAGTATCTTGGAAAGAGTATTTACGACTAAAGAAGTTGATGTAAATATTTGTTGTTTGTTGCACTTTTTCGCCAAGATTAATTTTTCGTCGTTGTGGCGTCACTGGCGAAAATGTTGCGCATAAACATTAACCGCAGTAGGTAAGTCATGTTAGACAAATTTTTCGAGAATATTTTGTAAATGCGCTAAAATATTGTAACCTCGATTTAAGTAGAAGCACAATTTATTATCGAAATTTCAAAGTTGAGTTTCCTATACATTCACGTGGGCGTGTATGACGAAAATGAATGGAAAAGTAGTTGGTATTGTAGTGGAAAATGAGGGACCCGATTAAATCTGATTTCGAATGAAAATATTCGAATGGAAAGCACCGTACGTTCAAATAAATAATTTTTTCTCGATATTTAATTTATAGTAACGGCTGATCGACTTTGTTTTTGTAAATTGAATAGGTCGATCATTAAGTTTTGAATACAAAAAACAAAATCACCAAATCATCGATTAAGAATGAAAATCTTATTGGAATGGACGATTTACCAACAAAATATTAATCTATATTTCAAAACAGTTGTCGGGACACTTTTGCCAGTGCGAAACTCGTAAGCGAATTCCCTTATACTTATCTACGACGACGGACATACATTCGCACAGTTATCGAGTGATAAATTTCAACTGCAGCGGAAAACCAATCTAATTCCTTAATACATTGGCTCGAAGAAAAAGCTCGAATTTACGAAACGACGAATATTTCAGAACTAATTGAAAAGCACGTTTATTCCACGCAAAAAGAAAAGAAAAGTTAAGAAAAAAAGGACTTTAATCAACGGCCATTAATTGCCTATTATTACAGCCTCGTCTACATTAAAATGTAGCCGTGGAGCGCCAGTTGTACGAGCGAAATAATGGCGAATCACAATCTACAAAATATTACACGGTGATATTCTATACGGGGAACGAGTAATAACGACGCGAAAACATTTGTAGATATAATCGCGTTGAAATACAACTGAAAACTTATCAACGATCGATATGCCATAATAACACCTTTCAAGCCATAACCTTAACAATCGATTTACGATCGGCTGCAAATTTAAAATAATCATCGGCCCAACTACATAATGGAATGGACAATCCGCGCCGCTCCTTCATTAAACGGATCGGAACGACGCTAAGACTCTCGGCGCTATGACCCAATTTCATCCGTCTGCACTAGGGCATCAATCGCAAGGTCAGGTCGGCTATAATTTTTTTCCCATCATTCCTGAAAAGTCGGACGAGGCCTCGCGAGCGTCTCCCCCGAGAAGCAAATGTTATCAAATTCGGTCCCAACGACACGGCCCATTATCGATAAGAGCCTCCTCCTCCTCCTCCTCCTCCTCCTCCTCCTCCCCCTCCTCCTCCTCCCCCCCTCCCCTCACCGCCAATTCGCTTCCCTTGCTCCCCCCTCATTCTCCACGTCACTAGCGGCTAACGAATAAACGGCCGGTAGCGAGATGTCCCCAGCATACGCGATACAACTTCCTTACGAGCTCTCGCTCCTCTAACGACAACGGCGCATTAACGTATGTCGATATAGCGGCAGACTAATGTCTATCACGCTGCGCGGTATTCTAACCGTCGCATGCGCGGCGAGATATTACCGAGATAGTCGCTTCCTATGGCCGCTTGCAAGTGGGCCGAATCACGCTGGAATTGAGACTCGCTAGTTAGACGGGGAATAGTAGCGAGCGAG